TTGTTATCTATGTCCATTGGTTATGCATATATGCATGTAAGTTCTTTGGTTTATCTCACCCCCCACCCTCCTCCTCTGAGGTTTGGCAGTCTGAACCACATTCTTTTCTGGGTCTCTGGGTCTATTTTGTTCAGTATATTCCACAAATAGGTGAGATCATGGGGTATTTGTCTTTCTCTGATTGGCTTATTTCGCTTAGCATAGTACTCTCCAGGTCCCTCCATGTCGTCTCAAAGGATAAGAAATCTTTCTTACAGCTGCATACTATTCCATTGTGTACATGTACCACAGTCTTTTTATCCACTCATTTACTGATGGGCACTTGGGCTGTTTCCGGATCTTAGCAATTGTAAATAGTGCTGCTATGAACATAGGGGTGCATATATTCTTTCTGATTGGTGTTTCAAGTTTCTTAGGATATATTCCTAGAGGTGGGATCACTGGGTCAAATGGAAGTTCAATTTTTAATATTTTGGGGAAATTCCATATTGTTTTCCATAGTGGCTGCACCAGTCTGCATTCCCACCAGTAGTGTAGAATCCCTTTTTCTCCATACCCTCGCCAGCACTTGTTGTTTGATGATTTGTTGATGGCAGCCATTCTGGCAGGTGTGAGGTGATATCTCGCAGTTCTTTTAATTTGCATCTCTCTGATGATTAGTGACGTTGAGCATTTTTTCATGTCTCTTAGCCATCTGTATGTCCTGTTTGGAAAGGTATCTATTTAGGTCCTCTGCCCATTTTTTAATTGGGTTGTCTTCCTTTTGTTCAGTTGTATGAGTACTATATATATTTTGGAAATTAACCCCTTATCTGATGTATCATTGGCAATGATGCTCTCCCATAGAGTGGGTTCCCTTTCCATTCTGATGCTTGTTTCTTTTGCTGTGCAGAGCTTTTTAGTTTGATGTAGTCCCATGTATTAATTTTTTCCTTTGTTTCTCTTGCCTTAGGTGTTGTACCAGTGAAAATTCTGTTGCATGTGATGTCTGAAAGTTTGTTGCCTACATTTTCTTCTAGGATTTTTACGGATCCATGAGTCACATTTAAGTCTTTTATCCATTTTGAATGATATAGCCATATTGTAAACGATATATTTTTTCTCTTCAGACAGGTTTAGAAAAACAGTTTTTCTCAATACCAGGTTTATACAGAATAACCTGGAAAAGAACAATGAAGACAGCACAAAGTCTTATATTGTGTTTGACTGCTTCTTTAGTAAGGAAAAAGAGCATATTTGAATGATTGCTAATAAGGAAAACTTGTTTTAAAAATTACACTGAGAAACTCAGAAAGTTGGTTTATTAAAAGGCTTTAATGCAATATCCAATAAGTTAAAGGGTCAGTATTTTGAGGAGAGAGTTACACTTTTAAAAATAGGGCAGCCTATACTTTCAGAATAGGGGAGAATGTATGAGGGATTTATTAACACTTAGCAAGGGAAGAATTTAAACAGTTGGGCAGCAATAAAGTTTCTCTAGGAGCCTTATTTACTATATATTTAACTACAGTCTGTTTGCTTTAAAAATGTTTTCATGTAAGTAAATTTATGTAATAAAATTCTTTACATAACCAGAAATCTTTTTAGGTTAGAAAATATCATTTTCTAGTTATGATAGAAAAATCAATGCAAAAATATCTTCAGGTTAAAAATTAAAAAAGAAAAGAAAAAGCAAAGGAAAGGAAAAAAAAGAACCTTACTAGGGATTTAATCTATACAATGCTTTAAAATTACCCTGAGCACATAAGTCTTATTCTAAATGACAAAAGAAATATATTGTTTTATTTTGTGTGTGTGTGTTAATCCTCACCTGAGGATATTTTTCCATTGATTTTTTAGATAGAGTGGAAGTGAGGGAGAGAGGGAAAGAGACACATCAATTGGTTACCTCCTGCACAATCCTGACCAGGGCCAGGGATCAAACCTGCAACTGAGGTATATGCCCTTGATCAGGAATCAACCCCACGACTTGTTGGTCCATTGGCCCATGCTCTAACCACTGAGCAAAACTGGCCAGGGCAGAAATATATCTTATTTTAAATAATATGAAAAGGGACTATGAGACATTACATATCTTAATATTAAGCATCTAATAAGATTAAGTAAAAAGAAAAAAAAGGGAAAAATAAACCAGCTTCAGAAGGGCATTAGCAAACAATAGTAACTGTTGAATAGTAAAGCATTAAATTTCAACAATGCAGTGTTGTGTAAATAAAATTTTAGCCAAATTTCCCTTTTGGGTGAGGGGGAAAAAAATTTTAAGTCAAAGTGCTTCCTTATTGATAAAGATAAAATGGCTGAAAAATTTTAAACACAATTCTGAAAATATGTATTTCATTTTCCAGACTTGACCCATATGCAGAAAAGATTGCTCACCACTGGCATACACTAGAATTGGAGAAAACAGGAATGAATTAAAACAGATATGGGCAAGAAACTCACTATTCGGGGCAGAATAATATTGTGGGGAGCAGTAGGAAGAATTATCAGTTAACGGCAATGTCAATGAGGCAGTTTCAAACAGCTAAGAGTGTATTTTCATTGAGTACATCGTAAGAATAAGATACCTAGAAAGTTTAGTTGGTGAGAGTAACATTAATCTCAGACTTTTAAAGCAGTTTTGATAAATTGAGTACAGAGGCCACCTTGCACTGTGACATTTTCATTACCTCATAGGAACTATCCCAAATTGTACTCAACCAAATTCCCTCAAGAAATTTATATAATCAAATGACTTGAAGTTAGTTAGGTAAGGTTGCTTCATTCACGTGTAACAACTATTGTATTTATTTGAAACACCATTAACTTGCAGCTAAAGATAAGAAGGGCTTCCCTAGGGACATTCAGCTTAACAAACACCTGATCACCATCAGGTATGTGACGGGTATCGTGCTAGATGCTAAGCATACATGCACAGGGCTTGTCCACTTAACCACAGAACACATAGTATAGAAATGGAAAATATATTGCACAGTGGTTCTTAAGCAAGGAGGACTCTGAGGCCATTACCAAGTCTCTGATATAATTAGTGAAGCCTTGAAAACAATTAAGCATGGCAGTATACACCTGTTAATCACCTCTTTACTTTAGTATATTGATTCAAAAGTCAATTAAATCTGTAATTACACTTCTGAGCAAAATAAACAAATCTGAGCTGAGCAGTTTTTTAAAATATAGTATCAAACAGTGTCTATGCTATGTGTACTATATAGTATATATGCCAATATAGTATAGATATCCTGTAAACATTTCATATGGGATAAAGAATTTGTAACTAAAAAAATTTTAGTTTTTACTTCGGATAAAAAAAAAAAGAAAGCTATATATCACATAAAATCTAAATTTTTGTCATATTAAAGAAGGCTATCATTGCTTCTAACTCAAAACATCAATGATATCTTGCCTGCTTTATTTAACTCTAACGGTCACTATTTGCTTACAAATACTTTCAGGGGGAAAAAGAGCCTTGCTTATTTATTTTCAGTGTAAATGTACAACAAAAAAAAAAAAACAAGAAAAAAAAAGCTTATTTTGTCCTTTAGTAAATGAATTCAATATTTAAAAAATACTGTGACAGAGCTAATTCTAAGTCGAATGGGTAGGTATGTTACAAATGAATTAATCACTATTTAGAAAATTAATCCCTTTACAGGTAGTCTTATGAATCATTGTAACTGAAATTATCAGTTAGAAATTAAGGTTAAAGACATGTATGTGGAAGACAAGTTCTAGTTCTGACATTGGCAGAATCTAGTTTTGTAACCTTGGACAAGTCACTTATCCTCTCTGTCTCTCAACTTCCTCATCTACAAAATATAAGAACTAAAACCAATCTGCCCGTGTGGATTGAGCATCATCCCACGAACTGAAAGGTCCTGGTTCAATTCCCAGTCAGGGCACATGCCGAGGTTGCCCCAGTAGCGGGTGTGCAGGAGGCAGCTGATTGATGTTTTTTGCTTTTGTTTTTAAATTTTTTTCTTTATTGATTTTAGAGAGAGAGGGAGAGAGAGAGAGGGAGAGAGAGAGAGAACATCGACTGGCAGTTTACTGCATGCCCTCCACTGGGGATTGGGCCCACAACCTGGGCATGTGCCCTGACTGGAACTCGAACCTGCGACCTCTTGGTGCATGGGTCAATGCTCAAACACTGAGCCATACTGGCCGGGCCGATTAATGTTTTTATCTCTCTCTCTTTCTCTAAAAAAAAAATCAATAAAAACATATTTAGCCCTGGCCAGTTTGGCTCAGCGGTTAGAGCGTCGGCCTGCGGTCCAGAGAGACCCGGGTTCGGTTCCCGCTAAGGGCACGTACTTCGGTTGCAGTTTGTCCCCGGCCCTGGTTGGTCGTGTGAGTGGCAGCCACTCGATGTGTCCCTTCACGTCGATGTTTCTCTCTCTCTCTCCCTTCCTCTCTCTCCCTCCCACTCTATCTGTACAAAAAATGGAAAAATATCCTCGGGTGAGGATAAAAAGAAAGGAAAAAAAAAAACATAAAAAAAAAATATATATATATATATATATGAGAAAACTAAAACCAGATCATTGCTAAGGTCCCTTTCAACATTTAAATTCTAGTTCGCCGTTCTCTACCTTAGCAAGGAGGAAAATTTTAAATCAAAATACAAAACAAAACAAAACAAAAATACACTAAAATGATAGCTACCGGTCTAACAATTGTTACTTGAGTTCAAGGTCTACTAACTATGGCAGTTTATATTGTTTACAAGGTACAACTTAGGAAGGCTTAATACTAAAGTATGCCATAGTGGCTTGGATGTCACACTTTCCATGCAAAGATGATCCAAATACCATTGAGTTGCAGTGGAAAAGTACTAGCCTGGGAGTCAGGTTTTAACTTGGTTCAGTGGCATTTCTTAGGTAACTTAACATCTCTGGGTCTTGATTTGTTTTCAGGTGTAAAATGAAAAAGTTGTACTAGATTATTTCTAAGACCCTTCCTAAAACCAAAATTCCGTTTCTAAGTGGTTAGTCTCAACCTACCCTTTTGTAATGCATTGCTTCCAAGAACAGCTTGGTCTGCTTATAGACTTCTTGGCCTGTCTTGTGGAAGGTCTTGAGAAATTCTATGAACTCTTTAGACACTCTATCCGTTTCAATGCTGGTTTGCCGGTTTATGGAAGGACTGGGAGCTTTTGCTTCCTGAATTTCTGCTGGGAAAATTAAAAATAAGTTTCATTACATAGAAGAGCCATGCACAAAATTATTTTAAGTATCTAATTTAAGATTATTTAAATAATGCTTAGTCAAAGTTAAATTTGAATTTAAATTATTTTATGTTTAAATATTTGGACAACTTGCCTTAAAGTAAGCTAAATCTATTTTATAAGTAGAAACACAAATGGAAAAAACTAAATGATCTAAAAGATATCCCTATTCATGCCCTGGCCAGTTTGGCTCAGTGGTTAGAGCGTCAGCCTGTGCACCTAAGGGTCTCGAGTTCAATTCCTAGTCAGGGGTATATGCTTGGGTTGCAGGTTCGATCTTATAGTATGGAAGGCAACCAATTACCAAGTCTCTCTCACATTGATGTCTCTCTCTCCCCCACTCCCATTCCCTCCATTCTACTCTTCTAAAAAAAAAAAAGGAAAAATATCCTCAGGTGAGGATAAACAAACAAAAAAAGACACCACTATTCAAATAAAAGTTGCTCTATTTTAATACTAAAATGGCACCACTACCCTGAGCAACTTTCTCAAAGGTTTGTATGAGTTTATAAAGCTAATAAAGTGAAATAATCAGAAGTATAAAAAAGTTAGATGAGCCCTGGCCGGTTAGCTCAGCGGTTAGAGCATCGGCCTGCGGTCCAGAGAGACCCGGGTTCGGTTCCTCCTAAGGGCACGTCCCTCGGTTGCAGTTTGTCCCCGGCCCTGGCTGGTCGTGCGGGTGGCAGCCACTCGATGTGTCTCTTTCACGTCGATGTTTCTCTCTCTCTCCTCCTCTCTCTCCCTCCCACTCTATCTGAGCAAAAAATGAAAAAGTGTCCTCAGGTGAGGATAAAAAAAAAAAAAGTTAGATGACTTATAAAATGTTAGACGACCTTCCAAAATCCATTTTACTTCCCAAAAGACAAAGGCTAATTTTTTCACGTGGAGATGAACGATTTTTTACCCACCGTTCGGCTTTCAAGCCAGACTACTCAAAGTGAAAGCATACATTCAAAGTAGAATAATGATCATGACAGAGCATACAGCAAAGAGGCAAAAGAAGCAAATAAAATACTGTCTAATCAGTTAGTCACACCACTCTTTCCCCCTTCAATAAATACACTGAAAGGAAAATGGGACCTTCGCAGAACAGAGGTAAGGGGGATGTAAGAGAAGCACTCTCAGAAAGCATGAACTTGGTCTCATCACATTCTAAGCCTCCTACTTTTGAACTGTGCTCTCTAATTCAATACCTGTAAGGAATTAGGTACCTCATACCCCCATGATTCTCTCTGAACACAAAAAGAAAGATAATTAAGAAGAAAAAGTATATTTTGAAGGTATTAAAATCAACTTATTAGCCTTGGCCGGTTTGGCTCAGCGGTTGGAGTGTCGGCCTGCAGTCCAGAGAGACCTGGGTTCAGTTCCCAACAGGGGCATGTACTTCAGTTGCAGTTTGTCCCCGGCCCTGGTTGGGTTGTGTGGGTGGCAGCCACTCAATGTGTCCCTTTCACGTCGATGTTTCTCTTTCTTTCTCTTCCTCTCTCTCCCTCCCACTGTATCTGAACAAAAAATGGAAAAATGTCCTCGGGTGAGGATAAAAAAAAAAAAAAATCAACCTATTACATATTTTCTTAGGATAATTTCCTATCATTTTACTTTTTGAACTTTAGTACCTAATATACATTTTAATGAGAAGTTGAAATAAAGTTTTAATATAACAGAGGTTATTATTCCTATTAGCATGCCTGGTTTATTCAAGTGAGACAAACACACGTAAATTACCTAAAAGAATATATTATTAACTGTAGCGAACTAAAAACTCCACATCTCACTTATTACACAACTGGTTATTAATCTAATGTGTTACTTAATTACTTGACCTATGCTCAAATTAAAGCAAAAACACCCTTGCCTCCCCAAACTGTACTAGTAAGTAGTTAACAGAACAAAATTGTACTTCTTAGTTATCTTTCAAGGATTTGCCTAGTTTTTAAATTATCAGGTGCTAACTATAATTCAAAATGTAAAAGCCTTTAAAGAATCCAATCACATTAGAAGAAAAAAAAAAAAAAGAATAAAAGCACACAAAAAACACTATGTATGGCTAAAACCACATCAGTCAAAGTCAGATAGCAAACTGGAAAAAAACATGTTTGTACATTATATCACAAAGGGCTACTCTCCTAATATAAAAGGTCTCCTATAAATAGAAAAGAAGAAAAAAAAAATCTAACACGAAAATAGGTAAAGAATACTAACAATTCACAGAAAGAAAACATAAATAGCTCTTAAACAGTAAATATGCTCAATCTCACTCCTGTTAACAAATATGCAAATTACTACTACAATGAGATGCCATTTAAAAAAGTAATAGACAAAAATCTGAAGTTTCATGTCGATGGGGATATGGGAGGAAGGCACGCCCCCTATGGAGGTGGGAAGGTAAAATGATGTAACTGCAATGAAGTTCAATTTGGCAATGATCATTAAAATTAAAAATACATTTATCCTATGACCAAACAATTCCATTTCTCAGAAATTTTCTACTGATATACCTGACATGTACAAAATAAACCATGTACAAGGCTACTCATCTTAGTGCAATACCGAAAATGCACAAAATGGTGACTAAAGGACTATGTAAATCATGATTTAATCCACAAAATGGAATACTGTACAATTGTAAAACAAAAAAGTATGCTTTTATGTACTGATAAGAGTTCTTAAATGTGTTGCTAAGTTTAAAAAGCAGAGTGTGTGTAGTGTGCCATCTTTTTTTTTTAATCCTCACCTGAGGACATTTTCTCATTTTTTTGTTCAGATAAAGCAGGAGGGAGAGAGAGAGAGAGAGAAACATCGACGAGAAAGGTACGAGAAAGGTACATATCGAGTGGCTGCCACCCACAAGACCCAACCAGGGCCAGGGACAAACTGCAACCAAAGCACACGCCCTTAGCAGGAACTGAAGCCGGGTCTCTCTGGATCGCAGGCCAGCGCTCTAACTGCTGAGCCAAACTGGCCAGGGCTAGTGTGCTATCTTTTATGTAAAATAGTGGAACTAGGATACGGATATATGTATTTGTAAATAAAAACAAAAGCACAGAAGGACACACAGAAACTAATAATAAGGGTTATCTGAATGCAGTGGTGGTACTTGTGAACTAGATGAGTGAGGAACTATGTATCTCTTCTTTCTGAGCCTTTGGATGTACTGCCTATTTGCCATTGCTGATGCTTTCTTCCGGGCTGTTGGGAAAATTAATTTTTTCCCAGCCATGTGTGCCCTGGGGATTGTTCTGCCTGCTCTTTTACCCAGTCTTCTCACATCCATGTGCAGTACTCAGTCAAAGACTCAAGGGAACCCCTCTGCAACCATCTGGAGTTTTTTCAGGCAGCCCATCCTCTGTATTTTGCCATTCCGATCCCAGTGACTTTGGCCTCACTGTGTTCTAAACTCATTTCTCCAGTTCAGCAAGTCTGAGTTGTGTCACCCTGTGCCCCGGTCTAAAAACTCTCCCTGCAGTGAGCTGGGCATGTGTAGGACTTACCATGCTTGTCCCCTCTCTCAGGGGTTACTATCCCATTTGCCTGTGGTCCACTGTCTGAAAACCATTATTTCATATGTTTGTCTGATTTTCTAGTTGTTAAGGAGTAGGGTAAACCCAGCTCGTGTTATTCCATCATGACTGTGAGTGGAATTATCAGACTGAACGAATGATTAAATTCCACATATTAAAGGACCTTTTGCAGTCACACAAATACATTTTCAGTTTTCCATATTGACAAAAATGTTTCAGAAAAGATATTACCAGTATTTTATTTTTTCAAATCCTCACCAGAGTATATTCTTTCCATTGATTTTTAAAGAGAGTGGAAGGGAGGGGAAAAGGCAGAGGGATAGGGGAGCTCGAGGGGGAGGGGGCCGGGGGGGGGGAGAAAGAGAGAGAGAGAAACATCTATGTGAGAGAGACACATTAATTGGCTGCTTCTTGCATATGCCCTGAGTGGGGCTGGGGATCGAATATGCAACCCATGTACATGCCCTTGACTGGAAATCGAAACCAATACCCTTTGGTATGTGGGCCAACGTTCTAACCACTGAACAACACCAGCCAGGGCACTGCCAATTACTGTTTTGAGTTCAGCTGTACCTGATTTATATACATATTTGTGTGTATTTTTTGAAATTTTTTTTCAGACAAGATTGTATACATCACTCTTTACCCCTTAATATGAGTTATCTCCTAACAAGAATATTCTTTTACATAGCTCCAGTACAGTTATTTTTAAACGCGTATGTGTGTGTTTGTTTTTTCCTTACAACTGAGAGTCACATATTCATTTAGTTGTCATGTATACTCAGTCTCCTTTAATCTAGAAACGCTCCCCAGCCTTCCTTTGTTTTTCAAGAGATTCACAATTTTAAAGAATACAGACCAGTTATTTAGTTATTTTATTGAATGCCCCTAGTTTGTGTTTCTCTGCTGTTTCCTCATGGCTACATTCAGCTTATAAACTTTCAGCTTAAATATTACATACTTCTTGTGGTGCTCTCTTCAAAGTATCCTGTCTGGAGGCACATAATGTCCACTTCCCTCCACAGTTATACAATAACCATTTCTTGATTTGTAATTAATAAATAAATTATGGGAGTTCAGTTGAGATCATGTTCATAACATGTTCCTCAGGACCCCTCACGCCAGGTTTAGCAACCATTGTGAAACCTGCCTGAATGAATCCTTACTAAGATGACTGCTAAATGGTGACTTTTTTTTTTTTTTAAATCTCCATCATCCTTTCTGTATTGATTAGTCAACATTCTTTGGTAAAGAAGGAGCTCTCTCTTCTCCTTTATTTAATTATTTATCTACTTTATTAGTTGGCTGGACTAATGGATTATTATTCTATTCAATCAGTTATACTCCACTTATTGTCCTTGTATATTTTGATACTCCAATTTGGCCAGTGGGAACCCATTCAAGCTGACTGGTCCCCAACACTTTCGGAGGCACTCTTTCCCAGCCCCGGGCTCAATCATTTCTCCAAGGAACCTTAGTTCACTTTAGTGAAGAACAGTATCAGAATCTAACAACTGGATGAAAGACTAGTAGGAGCATAGCCTTTAGATTAATTTGTAAAAGATGTACACAAGTTTCTACTCAGGGTAACAACATTTATTTGAGCTCTTAAAAGGGAGGCATTTTTAAATGTATGAGCAAGTATTTCCACTTGACCAATCCACTATAATCTACTCTGTAAGCTATAGCTCACTGAACCTTACTTTGGAGATTAGAAAACTGTAAGTAAACTCTGAGTTTTTACAATCAATCTGCTCCATTTACCTTCTTTGAAGGGGCATCCCATTCTTGTTAAAACAGTCTTCAAAAAGGTTATTTGTGTTCTGTTTATTACCAAGCTGCCCTGGCTTAAGAGCTTTGTTTTGTGCTACCAAAGAAGCAAAACATCAAGTGCAAAGGCATCTTGTGTTAATGAAGTGAAAAAGAACACAGGACACAAAAGGTCTGTTTTAGTCTAGACCCAATAAATTAAAAGTAAGTTTAGAATAGGCTAACCTTATCCACATGCTTCTTTCACAAGCTTATGTAACTTTGCATTTTAGACTTATTGGCCTTTGCATGTGGATAAGTCTAAAATGCAAAGTTATATAAGCTTGTGAAAGAAAGAACCAACAGCATCCTCTTTACTAATACACACACATTAATTTTTTCAATACTCTGAGGTCTTTGTCCCCATATGCTTTCTATAAACAAACAAACAAAAAGACAACTAAAAATAAAAAAATCAAGGTAAAAACCTATCATTCTAAAAGAAAAGAAAAAATGGTAAGAAATATTCTGTATTGCCCTGGCCAGTTTGGCTCAGTGGTTAGTTAGAGCATCGGCCCGCGGACCAGAGAGTCCCGGGTTCGGTTCCCACTAAGGGCACGTACCTCAGTTGCAGTTTGTCCCTGGCCCCAGTTGGGGTCGTGTGAGTGGCAACCAGTCGATGTGTCTCTCTCACATCAATGTTTCTCTCTCTCTCTCTCTTCCTCCTTCTCTCCCCCTCACTCTAAAGATGAATGCAAAAATGTCTTCAGGTGAGGATAAAAAAAAAGATATATTCTTTATAAAGATTTTTTAAAAAATAGCTCAGAGTTGTTTCTATTAAAGTACAAATCTTTCTATAATGTGATGCACCTTGTCAGAAGCTCTTAGGACATTTTTCTGAAACTGTCAAGGATGGGCAGTGAATGCACATGACTTTAATGCTCTTCAGTAACAGAGACCTCATTATGTTATCAATATAGATACAGATATAGACACACACACACACACACACACACACACACACACACACACGAGTTCAAGGAAAAACACTAAACCAGGAGTTAGGGACCTGAGTTCTAATACATCAACTCATATAACCTTAGGTAAATTAGTTAACCCAAATGGCTTTCATGTCATTTGTAAAAAGAGGCAGTTAGAGCTGATGGTTTTATAATTTCTTTACTACAGTGATACCTCGGTTCTCGAACGCCTCGGTTTTCGACCAAATCAGGATTCGAGAAACTTTTGTCTCGGAATCCGAACAAATATTTGGAACTCGAACTTCCGAGTTGAGCCGAATGGCGTTCATTCGGCCCAGCGCGCCTTGCTTGCGTCATCAGTGTGAGTGCAGAGAGAGTCACGCTTTGTGGAGTCCGCTTTCCTATTGGGTTTCATTGCTTCGGTTCTCGAACAATTCGGTTCTCGACCGTCCTCCTGGAATGAATTATGTTCGAGAACCGAGGTATCACTGTATTTCATCTCTTGTCATATACCATTTTATCATCTATTATAAACTCATAAGATTAGTGAGACTTTCCCAAGCAGAATTTAAGCTAAATAAGAGTGAATGACTTTGATCAATACCCTTGAGCTCCTTACTGGTAGAGACTATTCTGTCAGAAAAACAACATATTTTTACATAATTAACACTTACTGGAGCCTTACAATATGTGTCAGGTTCTGTGCTCAACTCTTTACACACATCAACTCTTTAATCTTCAAGACATGCCTATGGTAAGTATTACTGTTCCTCAGAACAGACAAGGGTTAAAGAGATTAGCTTGCTCTGAGTCACACAGCCAGTAAACCACAAAGCGGAGACTCAGACCAGGGTGACTGCAAAGCTTCTGTTCTTAACCACCCTACTACACTACCTCCTAGTAAATAAATCATGAGGCAAATACATTCTTAATTTAATCTCTACTGGATACTGATTATTCTCCAAATTAATCATGTAAACTAAAATTAAAGGTTTGCATTTACAAGATAAATGCTGTGTTTTTTAATTATAAGCAACCTTTCCCTTTAATAAAACAAAACAATAGTCATCAAATCCAAAAGACCTTAAAGGGTGATGTTATTCATTCCCCTGACTTTGGCAGGCCAAGAAAGCCTCATCACAACTACCCCAGGTTAAGGGGTTGGGAGTGAGACAGGGGTTCTAAGAAAAGAATTCTTCTGATAGCATCTGTGTTGGTTCCCAGTCTCCCTCACCATCCCAAACTTACTGCACCACAGATTACCAACATAAAGATTTAGAGACTAAGTTCTAACAACAGAAATTCTTTCCTGCTACCTGCTAGGGCCATCTGAACTGGCTTGACTACTCAGCGGTAGGACAAGTGTGACTTTAGTGATAATCCTTTTGCTGGTTATATGGCATTTTAAGAAGTAGGGTGAATAGGTCAAGTACATATAAATCCATGTACTAGAAAATGCATACTATTTGTGATGTTCACCACTCTAAAAGCCCAAAGTGAGCCTTTTTGTATATGTTCTCTATACATTTCCTCAAATACTGTCTCTCAGATAAGCTCTCAGAAAACTTCCTTTTTAGATGACTTCAAGCCTGGAAACAGCCATTTCTGATAAGGCATGGATGGTGAGGACAATATGCAAAGGAGAATAAACCAGGATCCAAAAATTAAAGGCACAAAAAATAAAACCTCCAAATAGCCATTTTAGATGTGAATGAATTTTATAAAGAAAACTATATATTTCAATTCTCTCCTAAACAAGCTTCTTTAAAAAACAATGTCCTCTGACCAGAGATGTTTGATTTCATATATCGCCTGACCCTCAAACCCAATTTCAGTCTCAAATCTGAGTTCATAATCTCTAAAAGCTTCTACAGAAATTAAAAGGCTGAGCCCACATGCACTGTGTATCTACTCTGTAATTCATTTGAGCACAGAAGAAAAAAGAAAACCAGAAAATTACCCTTCTTTGATCCAACTCTGGATGAAGCACTGAAGAACTTCTTCACTGTGGTAACCTTGCGAGTCTTCTCATTGGTTTTCTTTTCTTCAAACTTGGAAAATGTGAGGGACTGAGCCCCTTGGGTATTCTGACTGCTGGCAAAGGCCTCTTCCTCCTCCCGCTGTAGTCTGTAATTCAAGAGAGGATTAATGACCCAGATATTCTCCAAGTTTTTCTTGTATCTAAGTTATTATTCAACGAATTGAGGAGGATCTAAAATTTTTAGAACTAGAAGCTAAGTACACCAAATAGGTCTGAGGTCTCTCATATGTACCTATCCTACATGCTACTACAGACTTTACAGAGGACTTCCTCTATGGATCATGGTCATTCAACAATTATACTAGGGTTACATAAAAGAAATAAAGTCTAGTCCTTTTCCCTAATAAGCTCAAGGTCAGAGGGAGAAAAAGATAAATAAATAATTACAATATAATGTGATAGTTCTTAGAGTAGAGAGTAAAACACAGGCTATGAGAACACAGGAAAGAACAACTAAATCTGCTGGAGGAGTCCAAGAAGGTTTCACTATGTGACATTTAGGTCTGTCTTAAAGGATGAATAAGATTCTGCCAAGTCAAAGGGCGTTCCAGGCAGAAAGAACTACAAATGTGAAGGCATGTGGTTCTTATTATGAACCAAGTTCAATGTAGTCAGAGCACTGATGGTGTGATGGACTATGATGCTAGACTATGATGCTATGATACAGGTAGGCACCAGGTGGTTAAGAAACCTTGGCTGCCAACCGACAATCATTCTAGATTTCATCATGTAGTGGGAAACCAAAGAAGACTGTAAATCCAGTAAGTTATTATTATCAGATCTATAGTTTAGAAAGATAGTACAGGTAGGTGTGTGACAACTTGACAGACAGATAAGACTAAAGATAGGGACAATAATTAAGACTGCATTATAGCCCTGGCCAGTTTGGCTCAGCAGTTAGAGTGAAGGCCTGTAGACCAAAGAGTCGAGGGTTTGATTCCAGTAAAGGGCACGTACCTCGGTTGTGGTTTAATCCCCGGCCCTGGTTGGGGTCGTGTGGGAGGCAACTAATCAGTGTGTCTCTCTCACATTGATGTTTCTCTCTCTCTTCTGCTCTCCTTCCTCCCACTCTATCTGAAAATCAGTGGAAAAATATCCTTGGGTAAGTATTTTTTATAAAATAATTTAAAAGCTGGGCCAGTATGGCTTAGTGGACTGAACACCAACCCATGGACTGAGAGGTCCCAGTTTGATTCCTGGTCATGGCACATACCCCGGTTGCGGGCTCAATCCCCAGTGGGGGACATGCAGGAGGCAGCCTATTGATGTTTCTATCTCTCTCTCTCTAACAAATCAATAAAAACATATATATATATATATATATATATATATATATTTTTTTTTTTTTTAAAGACTACATTACAAATATTTAAGTGAGAGAAAACAAGGACCTAGAAAACAGGAGAGGGTGAAATTCAAAAGGCTTCTAGACTTCTCTAAGCTCAAAAAAGTAGAACTTGCACAGTTAGCTGTAGACAGTGTGAGAGGTGAAGGAGAAATTAATGACTCTAGAGGTTTTTAGCCAACTGAATAAACAGTGGTATACTTAACTGATACAGAAAGAGGGTTAGGAGAAAATGGTGAAAGTGGGGATTAAATAAAAGCAAAAACTTTGGCCTTGGTTAGACCTGCTGAAGTTGAGGTATTTATAATAAATCTCAAAGGCTTTCTATAGAACAATGGTTCTCAAAGTGTGATTCCCCAGACAGTAGCATCAACATCATCTAGGAACTTGTTAGAAATGCACATTTTCAGGCCTCGCTCCCAACCTAATAAAATCAATAACTCTGGACTCTGGGAGTGAGGTCCAGCAATCATGGTTTTTACAAGATTTCCAGTTGATTCCCTTGCCTGTTCAAATCTGAGAAATTGTGCTGTAGGAAACCTCAAGCGAGATTACAATGGGGAGGAGTAAGAAACTGCAATGGTCACAGGGACAGGGGTGAGGCTGAGAATGGAAGAGGGACACATCTTTCTCTGAGAGAAAACAGAAGGTAATACAGGTATTAGTACATTTTGATGTGAAGAGGAGAGAAAGCTAAGAGAATTCATGCTTAGTAGCCTCTACTTTCGTCATGAAACAGGACCAGCGACTGAGAACATCAGGAGTGCAGTGAGAAACCTGAGGAAATAGATAATGTTCTATGTACGTGTTATCTCTCTTTGACTGACCAGGAGTCACTGGAAGCAGTGAATGTACTTTGTAATTCTGTAAGTTCACCACAGATGCTAAAAAATAGTTGCTCAACAAATATGGCTGATTAGATATAAAACTAGGAAAAGCTGTCAGAGTTCAGTTTGACTTTTTTATGTTGTTGTTAATCCTCATTTGAGGATATTTTTCCATTGGTGTTTAGATACAGTGAAAGGGAGGGAGGGAGGGAGAGAGAGAGAGAGAAACATTGATGTGAAAGAGAGACAGTGATTGACTGCCTCCTGCATGATCCTGACCAGGCTGGGGATCAAACCCAAGACCATTTGGTCCGAGGGCTGATGCTCTAACCACTGAGCCAAACCAGCCAGGGCCAGTTTGACTTTCTTTTATTGAGAAGTTTTAGATTCTAGGAATCTCTGGCAAAGGATTAACATTATTTGTGGCATTTTATTAGTTCCTATGCTCACCAGCTATGCCATCTTTTAATTTTTATCATAATCATATTTCTGTACAATATAAATTTCTCAAATAATACTTCTGACCTACAAACCCCATTATGGAAAAGGTAAATTTTCATAATTCAAGAACTATATATACAAATCAACAGATTACTACTATTATGTGTTTATGACTGTGCCAGATGCCATGCTGGATATATCAAAACATGGGGAAAAACAATGCCTGACGAGAGCCTTGAGCCGCGCCCAGTGCTAGGTAACATCATATATATTACCTCATTTAACCTCCACCACGAAGTATGTTAATCTCCATTCTTCTACGCCAAAAAGCTTATTGTCTGTTTTAGAAAACTAACACATGCCCTGGCCAGCTTGGCTCAGCAGTTAGAGCATCGGCCTGCGGTCCTGAGAAACCTGGGTTCGGTTCCCGCTAAGGGAGCATACCTCGGTTGCAGTTTGTCCCCGGCCCTGGTTGGGTCATGTGGGTGGCGACCACTCGATGTGTCCCTTTCACATCGATGTTTCTCTCTCTCTCTTCCTCTCTCTCCCTCCCACTCTATCTGAACAAAAAATGAAAAATTTGTCCTCGGGTGAGGATAAATAAATAAATAAATAAATAGAAAACTAACACACACCTCAAACACAAAATACTTAAATGATAAGACAAAAGAGAAAATGAAGTCACTGAAATCTATTTATTAAATGTTGACTGAGAAGAAAAGGGGAAAAACCTATTTCTCTTCATATTAGGCTGACTTGCTGATAAAACAGAAGAGAAAAAATGTGACAATGACAATATTATGTGTCCAGTTGTATCACTGTAAAACCACCCTTAGTTAAGTCCTTTTACCGCTCAGCCAGTTCCCAATCCTCCTGAATCTGCTTCTGCCTGGCTTTGTGGTACTCCTCCCTCCAGCACTTGGAACAGAAACCATGCCAAGCAGGGTTGCCATAGTAACCACATCCTTTCTTGCACAGGAGCTCTGACTGATCCACATGAATTCCTCGGCGTTCAGACTTAAGGCTCATCTTCTTCCTGTTAATCAACCAACAAACAAGAAAAGTGTTGTTGAAAATGAATTATTCTATCAGCACAACAATAAGATCCACAAAATGAGTCCATATCTTCAAGCTGTAGGGGAGGGAAGGAAAAAAGGAAGAAAGGGGAGAAGAGGAGGTCAGGAAGAAAAGAGGAAAGAGAAAAAGAGGAGTTTAAATACAACAAGTTCCTGACACACTCATATTAAAGAAAAGACTTCTTATTCCCTGCCCAATAATATAATGAACACTTTAAGGATTAACATGTATTAAAGGCCTAACCGTAAATCTATAAAACTCCTAGTAGATAACATAAGGAGAAAACTTTAAAAGGACATTGGACTTGGCAATGATTTCCTGGATACTACACCAAAAGGACAAGTAACAAAAGCAAAAATAGACAACTGGGACTACAGCAAACTTAAAAACTTCTGCAGAGAAAACAATCAATAAAGTGATATAAAAGTGAACATTTTTTCTCATGAAATAATTCAAATTTACCAAGAAAACAATTAAAACATCAGAACAAGAGACTTCCGGTCAAGATGGCGGGTAGGTAAACACGGTATCACGTCCTCCCACAACCACATCAAAGTTACAACTAAACTACAGAACAACCATCATTCAAAACTGCCTGAAATCAAGCTGAATGGAAGTCCTACAACTACGGAATTAAAGCAGCAGCCACATCCAGACTGGTAGGAGGGGCGGAGGGGCGGAGGGGCGGAGGGGTGGAGGGGCGGAGGGGCGAAGGCGCGAAGGCGCGAGGGCCAGTGGCGAGATGGGCTGGTCCCACACCCACGTGTGGCGGATACAAATCAGGAGGACACCTCGGCTGGGAAGGTCCTTCCTGAGGACTGAGGGGTCCCTGTCCCACACCAGGTGCCCCACTCAGGGTTCCAGTGCCAGGAAGAAAAGTCCCTATAACTTCTGGCTGGAAAAACCAGCAGGAACTGAGGCTCAGGGAAGCTGAAGGGGCTGGAGCCCCAGGCAGCTCCTTAAAGGGCCCACGCACGGACTCATCGGACTCTCTCCCTCTAAGCTTGAGGGACACCAGAGACATACAAGGAAGAACTGAGCTGTTTGGCACTGGAGCGAGGGCTGGAGAGGGGGCTTTCTCCAGGACAAACGTGCTGTCAGAGGTCTTTGTTCCTTTGGTGTGCCCTTCCCTGGGGTGGCACACAGCCGCCATATCTGGGACTCCAGCAACCTGGCTCACACTGGTAGCCCCGCCCTGCTGACTCCCTGAGGCCCCGCCCCGCCCCAACCAACTTTCAGGCCCACCCTGTGGGAGGCTTTTTGCATGGCATCAATTTTGTTATAATCTGCTCTGCCATCGCCTGCCCCAAGGCAGGATATCTCTGCATTTTGCATTTCTTTAGGTAACCATTTACTCATCAAGCCAGTCTTTACTGACCTTTTGTTCCTTTTGTAGTATTTTCTGGAATTGCTTCGGGCAAGCTTGGTGCTTGGCAAAAGGTGCTTCTTGCCCTATATATTGTGTGAATTACCCCTGAATCAAGGAGACTTGATCAGAACCCTGTCTTGTTTCCATTTCTCGTGTCTCTTGTCCCTTCTCATCCTCACTCCCCCTCTAGAGTCCTCGTTGCTCGACCTGCAGGACGGGTCAAGTGGCGCCCAACGTGGGGCTCCAGCACAGGGGATCCAGTGAAGGACGCTGTTCGAGTGGCCGGCAGAAAGAAAAGCAAAGGAAAAGAAAGTAAAAGAAAAGAGGGAACGACGTGGGAACCTGCTACGTCTGCACCCCTCGGGTAAGTGAACGGCAATTATAGGTCAAGCATTGAGCCAAGATAAGATGTTCGTTGAAGGACTAAAAAAGGCTATCAAGGCACGAGGAGTAAAGGTGAAAATTAAGCATTTGTGTCAGTATTTTGATTATATTAAAGAAGTTTGTCCTTGGTTTCCTACAGAGGGAACTATAGATCAAAAACGATGAAAAATAGTTGGTGATGCTCTTAGAGATTACTATAAGACTTATGGACCCGAGAAGGTCCCGGTAACTGCTTTTTCTTATTGGAATTTCCAATGTAGTAGAAAATGGCGAGGGTATATTACAGAAAGAAAAAAAAAGGGGAATGAAAATGAAAGTAAAGAATGTGAGGACCTCATGTATAATGAGAAAGAAAAAACTGAGCCCACTCGGAATAAAATTATGCCTAAAAACCACCCATGAGCCCTGGCCAGTTTGGCTCAGCGGTTAGAGCGTCGGCCTGCGGTCCGGAGAGACCCAGGTTCAGTTCCCGCTAAGGGCACGTACTTCGGTTGCAGTTTGTCCCCGGCCCTGGTTGGTTGTGCGGGTGGCAGCCACTCGATGTGTCCTTCACGTCGATGTTTCTCTCTCTCTCTCTTCCTCTCTCTCCCTCCCACTCTATCTGTACAAAAGATGGAAAAATGTCCTCGGGTGAGGATTAGAAAAAAAAAAAAACCACCCATGAGGGGAGCTGCCCCAAAAATCCCTCCCCGCACGCAACTTGCACCAGAGCTAGATGATATAGAGGCTTTTCCAGTAACAGAAACAGTGGACGTGCAAGGACAGGCTTGGCGCCACCATAGTGGGTTTGATTTTAAATTAATAAAGGAGTTAAAGACCGCTGTAGCACAATACGGAGCCACAGCCCAATATACTATGGCAGTTTTAGAATCAGTAGCCGAGAATTGGCTTACGCCTGGGGATTGGCAAACATTAACCCGAGCGACACTTGCTGGAGGAGACTATCTCCTATGGAAATCAGAATATGTAGAGAACTGCAGGGACATTGCTAAATGCAAGGCGCAGGCTGATCTACCAGGCCAAGGGCTGGGAAAAAATAATATGGGTACAGCACAACCCATATAGCCCTCCCCAAAGACTGATAGGGCAGGATTAGGCCATTTTCCATAGGGGCCATTGACACTCCTGTGACCCATGCAGAAAAGATCACATGGCTGTGTGAGGAGCCAATGTGGGTTGATCAATGGCCTCTAACAGCAGAAAAACTGATGGCTGCACAACAGCTGGTACAGGAACAGCTTGATGCTGACCACATTGTCCCTAGTAACTCCCCTTGGAATACTCCTATTTTTGTCCTTAGAAAGAAATCTGGCAAATGACGGCTATTGCAAGACTTAAGAGCTGTAAATAAGGCTATGGTACTAATGGGAGCCTTACAACCAGGACTTCCCTCACCTGTTGCCATACCTTTGGGTTATTTCAAAGTCATTGTTGATCTAAAGGATTGTTTTTTCACGATTCCTCTGCATCCAGATGATCAGAGGTGATTTGCATTCAGCTTACCAGCTATAAATTTCAAAGCGCCTATGAAAAGATTCCAATGGCGTGTTCTGCCTCAGGGAATGGCTAATAGCCCTACCCTATGCCAATCCTTTGTAGCCTCAGCCTTACAATCAGTTAGAGACAACTGGCCAAATATGTACATTATACATTACATGGATGATATCCTTATAGCCGGAAAAGAGGGGAGCGAGGTTTTGAAATGCTATGAGATGATGCACATTGCCTTATGAGACAAAGGCCTGGAAATAGCCCCTGACAAGGTCCAACTCGCAGACCCTTATACATACCTCGGTTTTCAAATGCGAGGGTCCCTAATTTCCTCTCAAAAATTAGAGCTAAAATTAGACAAGCTTAAAACCCTAAATGATTTCCAAAAATTGCTAGGGGACATTAATTGGCTTATGCCCTATTTAAAAATCAGTAAAGGAGAACTTAAACCCCTGTATGAAATATTGCAGGGAGATGCCAACCCTACTTCTCCCCGTGAACTTACCTTGGAAGGAAAACAGGCTATACGCAAAGTTGAACAGGCTATCCATGCTCAAGCAACCACCTTTATGGATTAAATCTTAAATATGTACATGTTATCAGAGATACCTTTAGTGGATTCATTTATGCTTCCCTCCAAACTGGTGAAGCCACAAAACATGTGATCAGTCACATGCTAACCACATTTACAGTCCTGGGATGCCCACAGCAGTTGAAAACCGATAACGGCCCAGGCTATACAAGTTCAGCCTTCTCCCAATTTTGCAAACACCTCAATATTCTACACATAACAGGTATACCTTACAACCCTTAGGGCCAAGGGATTGTAGAGAGAGCACATTTGTCTTTAAAGATCACCATTAATAAAATAAAAAAGGGGGAATGGTACCCCACGAGGGGGTCACCCAGAAATATTCTCTCTCATGCCTTATTTATCCTCAATTTTTTAAAATTTGGACACTGATGGGCAATCTGCTGCTAATCGCTTTTGGCATACAGAAACTCAAAAACAATTTGCCTTAGTATTGTGGAAAGATCCCTTAACCAACTCTTGGCATGGCCCAGACCCAGTCCTCATCTGGGGCCGAGGTTCTGTATGCATTTACTCTGAGAAAATGAAATCTGCCAGATGGCTACCAGAGCGTTTGATTAAACAGATTGATCAAGTTAAAGGAATAACAGATAACCATATAGATAACTCCAGGGACGAAAATTCGCCCTGAGAGGCTTTTCCTGTTTTTTCTTTATTTCAGGAATGGACCGGAAGGCTGAAATCTTACTGCTAGGGACACTACTGCATCTTTGCCTGCTTGTGGAAGGAGGTTTGGGGCCTCCTCCACACCCTGAGGAGCTCCTGAGGGCCTTGTTTGGCCCCCCATGCGACTGCCTTGCAGGAACGCTGCTGCTTAAAAGAGCTTTTCTTCAATAACCCCCTTTGGAGCGGGCTAAATGGGGTGCTGCCTTATCTTCTCCCTCTGTTGGGCCCCTTACTTGGCCTTTTACTGATTGTGTCACTAAGACCTTTCCTCTTCAATGAGGTGATGGCTTTTACCAAGCAGCAGATAGAAGCCATTGAGATGCAATCTATACAGGTCCACTATCATAGACTTGAAATGGCCGACAGAGAAGCTCACTCTAGCTGTGAGTCAGTAAGCTATGATTCGGACAGGTTGGCACCATGTGCAAGTTTCCTGACCTAAGACAGGCACAGTCCC